AATGATAAATCTGCACATGGAAAAGTAAAGGGATTTAAAATGTTTTATCAGAGTGAAACCATGTTAGACTTTGATAATAGGACTAAAATAATAACCGGTGAAACAGATTGTTTAGATGTAGAAATCAGTCAGTTTAAAATCGAAAAAGATAGAAATATTTCAAGTATTAAAACAAATAAACGTTATACCTTTGGATACGATAAACGTAGACTTTTAGATAATTATGATACTGTGCCTTTTGGCTCTTAAAAAATGTTTCTCAATAAATGGATAAGATTACAGTCATCCTAAACATTCAGGGATTTATTTTTCCCAGTCGTAAGATTGTAAGAGAGATAGGATGGGTTCATTTAAATTTACCAATCGGTAAATATATTGGCGTATTTACACCTAATTGTGAATTGAATGATCAAGAATTGAAGATTGTACGTGAATGCACTTCAGAAGTACACGGATTAAGATTTAATAGAAATAAGAATAGTTTATGGATAAATCATCAAGACGTAAAAAATTATGTAAATAACCTATATTAACTATATGGTGGTACATTTGCTTATAAAGGAGGTATTTTAGAAAAAGAGATATTAGATGAATTGAATATACCATCTATTGACATTGATGTACCTAAATGTACTAAAATTTTAGGACCTGGATGTTCGATATACAAGTGTATGTATTACAGAAATTATATTGCAAAAAATGTTTCTAAATAAATGGAAGAATTCAATAGCCTCAAACGATTTCCTGAAACATACAAATTAAATGAACTCGAGATAGGTAAATATAATTTAATATCGCTGAGAAAAATAAATACAAAATATGGTGACTCTATTGTAGCTAGATTAGAAGTAGACAATGATGAGAAAGATTTTTATCTCTCGAAATGTCAAGGGGAATTATCTGATAAAGCTATAAGAAAAATTAATAGTGGAAAAAATATTTTTACATAGCTGCCAATATAGATAATTAAAAATCCAGTAGATTTTAGGAAATATAAATTTCATGATAGTTGTTGCATAATGTACTAAATATTTTACACATAGAGAATTTTAGGGATTTTTATAGTCATCAAAAAAGAAAAACTGCAATATTTTTCAGTTATGATTGACATTAAACATACTTGAAATGTTAAGTATTATCTTTACTCATAATTTTGAATAGTAATAGGCATTCAATTCATAAAAAATAATTAAGATTTTTTAATTAATTTAAAAAGGGAGTTCTGAATAAAAATAAACTGAATGTTTAAGAACAAATAAAAGCTTTAAACTGATTTCTGCAAATGAAGCTCGCCTCCTTATAAATTCGGATTATTTATTTAAATATTCAAATAAGCAATAATCTATCCAAAAATTCTATTTCAATAGGAATTTATGAAACTTTCTCAATTTTAGGGAATTTTCTAAAATGTACAAAAACCAGGAGACTTTTTATTAAACTAGTAGACCGGGAGAAACTAGCAAAATCCAGTAGTCTACTGGAAAATCCAGTAGAGTTGGCAGCTATGTTTTTAATTTTAAAGGTAAAAATAAATATTACGATTATGATTTGCATGTAAAATAAAAAGCGATATTTTAAATTTTATTACTATAAAAAACAGAAAATTTATATCACATGATACTAAGAATACAGATTTATAAGCGGAAAAAAAATTTATTTTAATATTTCGGTATAGTAAGTATGCTCTAGTTAAGCTAAAATGCAGTAGTGAATTTTAATTTAATTTTTATGTTTTAAGATTTTCAGATTTCTGAAAATTCAAAAAAAACCGCCAGCTAGTTGCAAACATTAAATAAATTTTGAAATGATATACAGCAGTGTTTTCACTACAGCGCGAGAACGCGAGAATCTCACATATTTTTTTCCTTTCTCGCACTAAAAAATGATTAACGCGAGAAGTTCGCGCACTCTATTAATCAATTTCAAAATGCACGAATTTTGGAAAAAATTTCGNCTCCCATTTTTTTTTCTGCAATGAATACACTGATATACAGAATAGCAATCACAATTTCGTGAATTTATTGACTGAGCAATAATAAAAGAACTTTAACAGAATGTAATTAAAATTACAACAAAGAATTCCTTAAATATCTTAGTGATACATAATAAATCTTTACAAATTATATATTTTCTAAATATATAAATACTTGTTTGTTTACAGTTAATAAACAAAAACTAATGTTATAATTTATTGAATTTAATCTAACTAACCTATGAAAGAAGGCTTCCATCTCATCTCTGAGTCTTTCAAGCTCTGAACTTAGTTTCCTTGCTTGAGCGATTAAGATTTCATATTTACCTTCTTCATAGCCCAACTTAGAAATCTCTTTCTAAAAGATATGAAATAGTTATTAAATATATTTTACTGTAACAGTTTCTATTGCCTTAATCTCATTCATTCATTTTTAGTAAAAATTATTTATGTTTTTCATTTAATTGCCTCATAGATAATTTGAATTAAAACGAAAATTTTATATTTAACTCATTAATCATTTAAAACGAAATTCTTCAATGATTATTTTTAAAAGTCACAAAAGGAAATATATAAAACTAAACTCAGTGGCGCGACAGCCCGTAGAGGGCCAAGGCCTACTGTGTCCATCTCAGTTTTCTTGACCTTGGGCTCGTGGGTGCAGGTGCAGATGTTCCGGTCAGGTGGTCAGCCGAACGCGGAACCTCCAGTATTTAGTTCCCAAGCATGCTTGGTACTCATATATCGACCCACTGAAGGGATGAAAGGCTGAGTCAACTTTGCCCGGCCCGAGGATCGAACCAGGGACCTGAGGCATGACAGCGCGTGGCGCTAACGTTCAGCCACCGGGCGTCAAAGGAAATATATACTTAAATAAAAATATTCAGAATTGTCAATGTACTCTATACTAATTAGAAAACATTACAAGCGATTAGAAATTTAATATTTAAAACAATTACATCAGTTTATTATTTGCCTGAAAAGATTGAAAACTTGTTCAAATATAAGAAAGCAATATTTTTAATACCTTTCCTTTCATCAATCTGAACTTTCGAACTTAATCTTTCCTTGCCCTAAAATTTTGTTTGTGTTTAAAATATTCAATTAAGTAACCTTCATATTTTTCAAGTCATCAGTGATATGGTCAAATAGTCATTTAATAAATAATTTAAACCAAACTAATACATATGCATATTAAATTCATTTCAAGATTTCATTTTTGAATATTATGAATATTTTGAATATTATGATCCTAATCCCAACAAACTGTATGCAATTACACAAAAATTGGAGGGAGGGGGGGGGGAAACCATAGCGTGTTTAGTTTTAAATTAAAATATGAAATAAAAATTACTGTTAAAATTTCAAATGACCACAACATCATTAACAGAGGACTGTCAAATGATAAAAAGGTAAGAAAATAAAATTATTAAAAATAAAAATTCATAAGACAATTTACTTTTAGTTTCTGAACTTCTTCCACTAATTTTTGATATCTAGCTTGATCTTGAGAATAACTCTTGTCAACCTTTTTGTTTTCAGCTTCCTTTTTAGCCAACTCATTTTTTATGTGTTTTATAGACATTTCAAGAGACTTTGCCTCTGTTTCAGCTGATTTCTTATCTTTACCAGCAGCTATAAGTAACAATATTATAGCATTTCAATACATTGCAAGCACAGGGTGAGTAGCCAAATCTTTCAATAAAAAATAAGCACCTTATAAGTACTTTTCAAGCACTCAAAAATATTTTTAAGCACTTTAAACATTAACAAAATGCAAAATAATTTTCAAAGACATTACATGATCATGATAAAATAACTAGTTTCTAACAAAGAACTCTTTACTGGATTATATTAGCCATTATAAAATGACCGAGAGATTTTTTCGGTTCGATGTCAGAGGGTGGAAAATGAAGCCCGAAATTGAGAATATCTTACAAAATGCAGAGAGTGCAATAATGTCACTGAATCCCAGCTCAGTAGACGCACATGCGGACTCGCAAGTATTTCATGAAACATGTAAAATAATTGGCGCTTTCATACGCTATGGACCGACAGAACGCCCAAATGGATTGTGGTACAATGAAATGTGAAAATATCGAATAGAACAATTTACAAAGCACACTTTTGCATAATATGTGGTGAAAATCAATATCGTAAAGAAAAAAATTTCAAAAAAGGAAAATTAAGCACTTTTTAAAAACACAAAATAAAAAAAGCACCATAAAGGTTTTCAAAAAACCAAAATAAAAAATAAGCACCTTTAAGCACTTTTTAAAAACGCTATGCACCATGATGTAATTAATTTATTTTGCTTGCACTGTGTATGAAACAATAAACAGCCTGAATAACCTTTGATTGGAATGTCAGGTACTAAGATTTAATTTAAATAATTTGAGGGCTTCACCTTATAAGCATGCTAATTAATTAGTGAAAACTTTTCAAACTTTTTAGGTTTTATACCCTCAAAATGTGGAGGGTTGGTCACACTCTAGAAAATACTGTCCCAATAATTTGATCAGGAGAGTGGTTTAAAGTTTGGACCCTTTAATGTTAATTGAAAATTTCTGCAAGCAAATTGAAAATTTTTAGCATAGAATTATGAAACGTTGTTCATCTAAAGATAATTTCATGGAAAAAAAGTTATAATTATTATGTTTTACAATTTTATTTCATAATTGTCTAAAAAATCTTGAGTTGTAAAGTTTAAAAATTCTTATTATCGTTTTAAAGAGTGAAATTTCAAATGACAAAAAGCAAAGTTCAAATGAAACCTGTCAGAGTTAATTTTTATAAAAAATCATCTACTTAAAATTTGATTTCAAAAGAACTACTCGGAAGATTTCGTTCAAAAAATTTTTTTTCATCAGCTGCAATCCAAGTTATCAATACAGGTTTTGAAATAACTTCTGCATTGAGACTTGAATACTCTAACTATTAGGGAAATGGTTGGAATTTCAATGACAATAAAATAGCAATAAATTCTGCTTCTAGAATTTAGGAAATGGTCTAAGCTTGCATTGTTAAAACACAGACCTACAGCAAAAAGTTTGAGGGCTTTGGTTGTATGGAAAAGAGTAAGAATTTCAGTTAACAAAAAAAAAAAAAAAAANAAAAAAAAATCAATGTTTATAATAAGCTCTGTTCATAGTAATCAGGAAAAAGCTTGAAACTTAACTTTTCATGCATTAAAGTTTGAGTTATATAGCTTGTTGAAATTCTGATTAATAGCCAGGGGACAGAGCATACGTCTTCCAATGAGGCGAACCAGGTTCGAAGCCCAGTGATGGCTGGTCGGTACGAATTCTGCTTCCGGCTTGCACCGACCACAGTGCAGATGTAAAATATCCTCCGTGGTAAACATATCATATGTTGGATTCTCCTTGTTGTCAGGCTAACCGTGAGAGGTTTTGGTTGTTTTCCTCTCCATGTAACGCAAATGCAGGTAAGTTCTATCAAAAAAGTCCATGTAAGCAAATTTCTCCCAATACTTGATCCAGGAATTCCCTTGGCTTCAGGATTGGGTTCAAAATTACAAGGCTACGAAGTTGAACATTAGTAGTCATAAATCCTAAAGATTGGGTCGGCTGTTCAACAACAGTTATAGAATAAAATAAAATAGCTAATTCCAAAATGCAATAATATTGTAATATGTTTTTTGAAACTTCGACTGCAAAATTTTACACTAAAACACAAAAGCATGTTAGAAAGAAATACACAGTAAAAATTTAGTAACACAGATTTGCACATTTAATATTAGTTCAGACAATAAATCAGGTATTTATTCAGAGAAACTTACCAATCAACTGTGCAGAAAGACTTGCTTCCTCCCCATCATCTCCTACACCTGCAGTAACAGCATGAAAATGATTTTCAGCAGCAGTAATGGCCTCACTGTCTTTATCACACTCTTTTTTCAAAACATCAAGTTTCTTCAGAGAACTCTCTAACTCCTTTTGTTTTTGTGTAAGGGTATTTTTCTCCTAACAGCAAGTAAGTACAGTCTTTAAATTTTTTTATGAATCACATTCTTTATTCATTCTGAATCAAATTGCAAATATATATATATAAGTTTTGAACTTATTTTATGACTTCTATTTACTTGCAGCTATGCACAGTAAATAAAACTTATTGTTTTTCTTAATTTTCTTCGTTTTTTTTCTTTTTGTCCTGTTTCTATTTATTTTTTATGCTATATATATATATATATAATAGTTAAAAGTAAGACATTTTTCCCTTTGCTAATTGTGGGAATCGCGCGACCTATTAATAAACCAATTGCAATTACTAAGATTTCCCTCTTTCCCTAAATCGAGACATTTTACAGATTTTCTTCACAAGATTTTCCCTAACATTTAGGCTAGAACATGACGCTGTTCAGACACATTCTCTCTCATCATTCATCCAAAAATTATTTCAAAAAAACAATTTGTTCTTCTTAAAATTCTGTGCCTGTTTATTCTGTTCCCTTGATTGAACACCGATATATATATATATATAGAGAGAGAGAGAGAGAAAACAAGGAAAAAAATTAAGATTAATGAAAAGAAGAAAATTATTAAAATAAAATATTTCAAAAAAAATATGTAAAAAGAAAAGTAAAAAATAAAATATATACTAAAAAGCAGGAAAACAATGTACTCCGGCTACAAATTTATGTTTCCCAGCTTTTAAATATATATTTTTTAAATTTTTTTTTAAAATAATTTATTTAAGTTATTTTTCTTCTCTTTTCATTAATCTTAAAAAAAAATTCCATCTTTTCCCTATATTTTAAACTTATTTTATGTTTTTCTCCTTTTCTCTTTTTTGTCTTTATTGTGATATATATATACATGGAATTTTTTAAAAACTCAATCTTTTGTATAGATTATTCAAAGAGACATAGTTTAAAACATTAAAGAGAAAATATAAATTTTATGCAATAAGAATTCAGTTTATATTTAGCATGAGTTTATGATGTTTAGCCTCATTAGCATCAGTTTATTTTTAGCATTTCTTTACTGCTTTATGTCCTTTTTGCACCAATTCAATGAAGTAAATTATTTAAAATACAAACTACTCTTAATTTTATGAACCCTGCTTTCCAAACATAAACTGAGATAATAATGTAAGGTCGATGTAATGGGAATTCACAATGATATAAAACTTCACTTTTACCTTGTAAAACTAGATACATTTTTATAAAATGAATAAATTTAGAAAATATCTAACTTATTAAAATTATAATTTATTTCTCATTTATTCAGATTTATTTCTCTGAATATGAATAACACATACATATCTGTCGTAAAGACACTAATTCATTATCAAGCAAAATATGAAATACCAGCAGTAACGATTGCAAAAGAAAAATTAATGTAAACCAACTTAAGAAATTTTTTTTATGTGCAATCAAGTTTTCATGCATTTGTGAAATAAAGACCAACCAGTGATCCAACCATGGTAAATAAAGTTTAAAGTAATGGTATGCTGATTTGGTTTTTCATTTATTTGGTTTAATGTTAGGTCCATGTTTTCTCACAAAATTTTATGTGAGAAAATGATGATTTTCATAATTTTGAATATCTCAACAATTTTTAATTAAATTTCACTCCAATTTCACTACCTTCTATACATTTAATATTCAATATAATTCTATACTGATGATAAATAAGTAAAATTAATTCAGTTTATTAAAACATAATTATTAAATCTCCATTTGTATGCAGTTTAATTATTGTTTTTTTTTAATTAGTTTAGATAAATTTAAATAAATAATTGTAAAATTAATTTGATATAGTTTTATGTCTACACACCACATTTTTTTCTTCTTTTTGTTACTAGGAAGGATTAGAAAAGACAAAAATAACCAAAAATACCATGTGGTGGCACAATTGTCATTACATATTTCCTAACTTTTAAAATTATCTTTACTTAAACCTATTTTTTTTTTTCAAATCATTATTAATCCAATTATATTTCAATTAAATCAATCAGTTAATCTTTATAAAGCAAACAATAAAATATTTTATTGTTCGCTTTTATAAAGATTAACTTATCGATTTAATTTAAATATAATTGGATCAATAATGATTTTTTTAAAAAAAATAGGTTTAAGTAATTAAAGATAATTTTAAAAGTTAGGAAATATGTAATGTCAACTGTGGCATCACATACCAAAAGTACATTTTACACCTATATTTAAAATTTTATATTTAAATAACTTTATGAATAAAATATTATCTTTTTCTAAGGTATGCAAATTTAACTGAAAGAAACTTAGAAATTAAACATTTCTCTGAAAACTGATTTTTAAACTAAAACTTTAAGTGATTTTTACAGGGATCTGAAAATGCCCTTGCCTTTTTTTTAGATAATAACAGGTCTATTGAGAATTTTTAAAACAGTGTTTAGCTTGCTGGAGAAATTTATAATTTGCTTGTTTAAAAATTTCATAAATATTTTATTACTTTAGAAGATCATAATTTTAGTTTAATCTATTCAAAGTTTATCAAATGGAGTGACAAATTTTTATTAATTTCAACAGTAGTAGAATAAACAAATGACTTTTTCTAAGAAAAGGCAAGTTATAAAAACTATATGCACCATATTATGACCAAATACATAAATTATCTTTATTTTTTTAATTATATAAGAGGAAATTAATGTTTAAATATATATATATATATATATCCGTCGTTNATAAAAGCACATTCTTCACATGTTAAAAATAAATGTTTTAAAGAAATGATTATCTCAAAACGTCTTGGAGTGCACTTAGCAGAATTTAAGCACCACATGTTCTCAATGATATTTCCTATGTAATTCAAAATTTCGTTCTATACCCATAAACCTTATTTTATGTAGGGATCCTAAATACATACATAGGTAGATATTGACATTACATTCAAAGGTAAAACTGAATTCTGAAGTAAAAAGAATTAGAAAAGAGAGCAAATTATTTGACAACAAAATAAAAAAAGAATTATGTTCTGTTACAAATTTTATAATTATGTGTCTTAAAAACTAAATATGTCTATATTCTTACTTGCGTAAATTCAAATTAGATAAGTTATTGATTTAATGTTTCAACTGTTTAAAAAAAAAGCAGTCACTTTCCGCTATGCTACTACAGAGCTGCCAACAGGGATTAGATAAAATCCAGTAGATTTTATGAAATATTATAAATTTCATGATAATTGTTGCATAATGTACTAAATATTTTACACATAGTATTTCTAACGTCACCAAAATATTAAAAATTAAATATTTTCATGTTATGATTGAGATTAAACATACTTGAAATGTATTACGTGTACTCATAATTTCAAATATTAATAGGCATTTAAATTATCAAAGACAATTTAAAAAAATTGTTTTAATTAATTTAAAAGAGAGTTTTGAATAAAAATAAGCAGAACATTTTAGAACAAAAAAAGTTTTAAATTGGTTTTGATAAATGAGTGTTGCTTTATTATATATTAGCAATACTTATTTAAATATTGAAGCAAGCAGGCAATATTGTACTAAAATTCGATTTCAAAAGGGATTGTTTTTTAGGAAATTGACTCAATTTTAAAGAATTTTCTAAAATGTACAAAAAACAGGAGAATTTTAATTAAACCAGTAGACCAAGAGAAACTGGCAAAATCCAGTAGTCTACTGGAAAATCCAGTAGAGTTGGCAGCTATGCATATTCTTTCAAAAATATATATTATATTTTCTTAAATAAACCCCTATCTAGAGGAGATTTTCAAGTTTTAAAACAAAAATTTGATTTAGATTCTGAGCACATACCTAATTTTTTGTACAGTAATTACTCAATAAAGAAATTCATTGAAAAAAACAGCACAGTTTAATTTTGATCAATGCTTGAAATACACTCGAAACAATTAAAATAATTCCTTAGATTCCCTTCAATCAAGTAAATTTTTTAATAAAATATAACCATTTTTCGGTGATTATCGAGCTAAAATATTATAAATAATTTGATAACAAGCTACTTTAAGAAGATAAAAAACTTATTTTCTTGGAATCAAGTAATTAATTGTTTGATGTGATTCACTGCATCTTAAGATCATTTTTTGTAGACTACAATGCACAACCTGAAGATTTTGTTGCTAAAAATGAGATATGCAATCTGAAAAACGTAGTAAACGCACTGTATTAAAATTGGTTAATCCAGTTAGATTGATCAAATCTCATTATCTAAATGTGAAATTTTCAATTCAAACACAAAAACTTATGTATAGTTTTGAAAAAATTACATTCTCTAAATAGACATATTAAATTGGAGTGAACTAATTAACACACAGTACTCATTATACATGAACTCTTTAACATATACTCATTATCATTATACATTGAGATTCATTTTCAAATAATTCAAATAAATAAATAAAATATTACATTGATATTTTTATTAAAACTTGATAACATTCCATGAATAAATGCTTATTACATACACTTTTTCCTTGCTCACATTTCTGGTGGTTTATCAATTATTTAAAGTGTTTTTGCACGTAACATTTTTGGATTTCCATTTCCAGTTTTTTTGGTTTTTATACCAAACTATATATTCAATATAGAGTTTTATAAAAATGAAACATTTATAAAAATACAGATTTCTCCTAAATAAGGTAGCAACAAAAGGGCTGAAACTAGTTATAAGAGATAATCTATGCTCGCAGAAAGTTTCTTAATTAGGATTTCGTGTTCTCATAAATTTTTTCATTTTATCTAAGTGCAGCGATTGGTTTGAAGAGTATTCTGGACAATTCCAGTGACTGATTTGGCCACCTAGACATGAATCCCATCAAATATTTATGAGATACAATCGAAAGGTCAGTTTGTGCAAAACAAAATCCACCACCCGCAATACTTTTGCAATTATGAACATTTATTGAGGCTGTGACTTATGACTACTTGTTAAGTCAATTGCCAAGTAGTTTCTGAAGATAGTAAAGCTAGAGGAGATCCGGCATGATATCCCAGGACTTTTGTCACCTCAGTGTATATTTTCTTTCAATTTAAAAATAAAACTAACACCTGTATCCCAACTGAAATGTTGGCACAAATATTGCATGCTCGATGTTTGCCAAATTAAATGCTTTAACTCTTCCAAAATTTGGCTCAAAAATGTAAAATTCCAGCCTCTACTCTATTTTTTCCTCCTCCAATTTCTCAATTTATCAAGCATTGTAACAACCCTGTTTTCTTTTAATGAATCATCAAAATATTCTAATAAACAGCTCTTTAGACTCTTGACTAAATTTTCTTAGTTTTTGTTTTTACTCCTGGTTTTAAAAAAATTAAGTTCTAATCAAAACTATCGTCAACTAGGAAAAAGTTAAAAGTGCCAACTTCGCAAATGAAATCCGTAATTCACCTTTAAACTCTCACGCACTTTTAATCTCTCACGTCTGGCTTCCAGAGAAATAATCATCTGCGATAGCTGTAAAATAAAACATGTGACAAAACAAAGATAGTAAATATATGACGTTCAAAGAGCTGGGCCATTTTACCATGATTATAAAAAACATATTTATTTTAACGAAGGTAAAAAGAAAAATTCTGTGCTAGACAGCTCTTTGAATGCGAATAAGAACTAGAAATCCTTATTGAAATCTAAATGTGATAACAGTTTTAACAAGAAGAAAATTTTTGTTTACTGATAAAAATGGTGTAAGAAATTTGGAGCAAAATACACAGTCCAGTCACATTAATGTGACCACCTGTCAAAAGCCAGAATAACCACCTTTGGCTGAGCGGACCGCTACGAAACGTGCAGGAAGAAAGTCAATTAGGTTTCTGAAAGTGTTCACTGGGATGTTGAGCCATGCCGACTCCAGTGCCGTGGCCAGCTGCGCTAGATTACGCGGTTGAGGATCCATGGCACGAACAACCCGATCGAGGTGGTCCCACAGATTCTCGATTGGGTTTAAATCCGGTGAGTTTGCTTTCCAGGGGAGTACGGTAAATTCATCCTG